TTCGTATAGGATCAGATACTGCCAATACCCCATTTTTTTTCTTTTACATAGTACACCGCGCTATCACTTTGTCATCGTTGTAACTTTTTAAATATTTGTCGAAATCACATAGTGTAAAAATCAAAGTTTATCGTCTTTAAATATCAAAAGCGATAAAAGTATTTGTTTTGATAAAAAATGATTTGTTAATACAAAATGTGCATTTTGGAAATAGATATCAAATAATATTTTATTTGTTTCTTAGGTTTTCACGCACATCACTCATTAAATAAAACTAGTTTTTACGGGTTAATGCACGAAACTTTATTTATTTATTGACGTTTCGCAGCCTATTCAGGTCTGCATCGTCAGAATAATGATTTTTTATTTAAAATTGTCGAGCTACCTTCGAAAGACTTATATTGAGCGTTCGGTTATTTCATTGGAAGATTTTTAAAATTTTTATTGTCTATGTATGAATTTATTATTTAATTTACTTAATAAAGTATTTTATTTAAAATTCTTGTTTGTAATTTTGAGGTTATTTATTTGACCCTAACTACCGTAAAGTATAGGGACTCGGGTAAAAGAACATATCGCAGATATGAAACATAGGCGCGAAAATAAATCTGCAGTGTGTGAACATGCATTAGGGGGACCAAACCACTACATTAGATTTGATAGACCACAGATCCTTGCAGCTGAGCGGCGGTTCGTTCCTCGAATGATGCGCGAGGCTATTGAGATTAAAAAATATCCAAATTTCAATAGGGAAGATGGTTGGTATATACCACCAGCTTGGGAACCTATTATACAGGAGATAAAATCCCAACCCCGAGCACACACTGCAAGACCATCAGATACTATTAGTTCTTTTTGTTTGCATAATTTAACATAAGAAGGAGATAGAAAGCCTCTCTTGAGTTTGTTTCGCCGGTTCTTCTCAGGAAGGTCTCCCAATTTTGGAACCGGTGGTAGTTTACGGTAGTTAGGGTCAAATAAATAACCTCAAATTTACAAACAAGAATTTTAAATAAAATACTTTATTAAGTAAATTAAATAATAAATTCATACATAGACAATAAAATTTTAAAAATCTTCCAATGAAATAACCGAACGCTCAATATAAGTCTTTCGAAGGTAGCTCGACAATTTTAAATAAAAAATCATTATTCTGACGATGCAGACCTGAAAAGGCTGCGAAACGTCAATAAATAAATAAAGTTTCGTGCATTAACCCGTAAAAACTAGTTTTATTTAAATAATATTTTAGTTTTAATTTTACTATTTTAGCGGTAATGACTTACACATTAACAATAGATATATTGTGTCACGGACTTCTTTTTAGAACTATTTAAGAGATACATTTTCATTCTCATTACATTCATGTAACTTTTATTGTTTTTGCAGTGCAGGCCAAAATGGCTCGCAGATGGGAGATTTTTTTCCGTCTTATGTGACACTTATTGTTATATATTGGCCAATTCACTCAATAACTACATAAATTATTATATATATGTAATTATCATATATGAGCTACATTACTGTTAAGTTTCATTAAAATCCATTCAGTATTTTTTAGGTGAAAGAGTTACAAAGATCCATACAAACGTAAGATTGAAATTAAAAGCGTAAGTGGTTAATATACAACTTTAAAGCGTTGTAGATCCTTAACAATCATATAAAATGAAAAATGGTGTTACGAACCTAAATATAATTTTTGATTATCTAGACAGTGATACCCCACTCGACATATTTTGTCAACTTATTTTTTTTACTTCGTCACAATATGGCGCCTAATTTTGCCTATATTGAATTTTGATTACTATCATATCTTTAGTAGCACTCCCATGATTGAGACGAATCGATTGATGTATGAATCATCAAAATCGGTCCAGGCGTTTGGTCTCTAGTGTGCCACAAAGGAACAAACATACATATATAGACTGTTAAACATATAACCCTGTCTGCGCGTCGCGCTTCGCGCTCTTGCATTGCGCAGCCGGGTAAAAATAACCATAAATTTCCCAGGTATGGTCCAGAAGAAAAAAATGATCGTCATGATGTGGAAAATACGTGGCCTTCTACTTCGTTCAAGGATTTTGTACATCTTTATATATATATTTCTTCTGTGAGTGTGTATGTCACTGAACTTCTCTTAAACGACTGGACCGATTTTGATGAAATTTTTTGTGTGTGTTCAAGGGGATCTGAGAATGGTTTAGATTCACAATTTTGTCCGCTGGACAATGTTTTTTTAATTATTTTTTTTTATGGCGGTACGAAGTTCGCTGGGTCAGCTAGTTCTGTATATGCCTTTGATTCGTCCTAAATCTTTTATAAAGACAACTTTTTCTTGAGTAAACGTATCTAATTTACTCAGCGCAAACTAGTTTTTCTACTACAGTATTTTTTTAGTAAGTATGATATAAAAATTCATAAAATATACATTAATTAGGGTCTGGTCTGGCACTACGGATTGAACTCTCTGCAATGTTCCACCTTCTTGTTGTAGGAATGTATAATTAATTTATCACTCAGTAACTACGTTATAATATAATAGGTACAGTTGTCTTTGTCATTTTTGAATTCGCGATGATTTCAAAACCTACATCTGTACCTCTAACACGAACCATTATCGAATTCGAATAGTTTGCAAACCGAAATGTCAATTTCAAATTTTGTATGGAAACTTGAACAGCAGCGGCACAAAGTACGTAACGAGAACTAAAAATCAGTACACATTTGACAATGACATTTCCAACTCGCAAACTATATGAATTCGATATTGGTTCGTGCTAGGGGTACTGTACCCATAGCAGGAACCATTATCGAATTCCTATAGTTGAATTTGATCAATCTTATACGTCAAATGTGTACTGATTTTTGAATCTCGTTACGTCCGTTGTGGCGCTGCTGTTCAAGTTTCCATACAAAATTTGACAATGACATTTCGCACTCACAAAGTATTTGAATTCGATTTTGGTTTGTGCTAAGGGTGTTGTACTCTTAGCACGAACCAATATCGAATTCGTAACGTTTGCGAGTACGAAATGTCATTGTCAAATGTGTACTGATTTTTAGTTCTCGTTACGTAAATTATAGTGCTGCTGTTCAAGTTTCCATACAAAATTTGACAATGACATTTCGGACTTGCAAACTATTCGAATTCGATATTAACCATTACCAATCAGTTAATAATTACTGATCCAAAAGTTGCGAGCTTAGAGCATATTATGCTTTAAGGTTGCGAGAGTTCAAAACGTCTATTAATCACATACATTTCACGATAATTGTTTTTTTTATCTCGAGATCTTTCGTATTTCTGCAGTCGTTAGTACCCACCAATTCCACACTGGGCCCACGTGGTGGGTCACTGCCCAATCTCCCTATTCCATTGTATTCCATCCATAGGAATTAATAATTAGGCTTGTGATAATGGTGATACATATACATACATATAACTCGGAAAGAGATGAACGCCGACTCGCCTTTCGGGTTACTGTCAAACAGGCGTCCACCTAACTTAAGCGGATAAGCAGTTACAGTACAGACGTATTGAAACTGCTTCATCATCATCATCATCATCAGCCTATTAATGTCCCCACTGCTGGGGCACAGGCCTTCCCTATGGATGGAATAGGGAGATTGGGCCATGACCCACCACGCGGGCCCAGTGCGGATTGGTGGGTGCTAACGACTGCAAATGCAGCCGGGACCAACGGCTTAACGTGCCTTCCGAAGCACGGAGGAGCTCGAGATAGTAAATTTTTGGTCACCCATTCAATGACCGACCACTGCGAAAGTTGCTTAGCTTCAACGATCGCAGCCGAACACGCTAGCCACCTGCGCCATCGAACTCCTCAGCTGAAACTGCTTATCCACTGCTAATCCAAATGGATATCCTATGGCAAGGTCGCGCCGCCCTTAGGACTCGCCAACTGCTGGTTGGCGGAAAGGTGGCACCAGTTTGATCAGCCATAGAGAAAATAACCACTCAGTTCTAAAACTGAGTGAAAAACTCCTAAGAGTTAGTACTTCCTAAACAACTTAAAACGGAGTGGTTACTTTCTCTAGCGGAATGGTCCCGATGCCGAAGTACGAAAAGTGCTAGTTCGAGAAGGGGGGCACACTGGGTAGTGTGAAATGGACCCAGTGCTTCTGCACTGGGCCCAGTGTGGACTCTCCCGATCCATCGCACACACTCCTGGTCCCTCCCGGTCCATCACTCGCCAAACAAAAATTTAAACCAGTCCACAACCACCGCCGTCTGTGGTCCACCACCTCGCATCCCATTTGGCTACCCGCCCAGCTGCCTAGCTAGTTGCCTAACTAGCAGCCCAGCTAGTTGCCTACCTAGCTGCTAGCAGCTAGTTGCTTGCCTAGCTAGTTCCCTAGCTAGTTGCCTAGCTAGCAGCCTAGCTAGTTGCCTAGCTAGTCGCCTAGTTTCTAGCCTAGCTAGTTGCCTAGCTATTTGCCTAGCTAGCAGCCTATTTGCCTAGCTAGCAGCCTAGCTAGTTGCCTAGCTAGCAGCCTAGCTAGTTGCCTAGCTAGCAGCCTAGCTATATGCCTAGCTAGCAGCCTAGCTAGTTGCCTAGTTAGTTGCCTAGCTAGTAGCCTAGCTAGTTGCCTAGCTAGTTGTCTAACTAGTTGCCTAGCTGGTTGCCTGGCTATTTGCCTAGCCAGTTTCCTAACTAGTTGCCTATCAAGTTGCTTAGCTAATTGCCTACCTGGTTGCTATATATATAATATATGCTATAATATAATAGCTAGGTAAATAGCTAGTTGCCGAGTTAGTTGCCTAGCTAGTAGCCTGGCTAGTAGTCTAGCTAGTTGCCTAGCTAGTAGCCTGGCTAGTAGTCTAGCTAGTTGCCTAGCTAGTAGCCTGGCTAGTAGTCTAGCTAGTTGCCTAGCTAGTAGCCTGGCTAGTAGTCTAGCTAGTTGCCTAGCTAGTAGCCTGGCCAGTAGTCTAGCTAGTTGCCTAGCTAGTAGCCTGGCTAGTAGTCTAGCTAGTTGCCTGGCTATTTGCCTAGCTAGTTGCCTAGCTAGTAGCCTAGCTAGCAGCCTAGCTAGTTGCCTAATAAAAAACCTCGCGTAGCCTCTCGGCCTATGGCTCCAGGATTTCTCGTACGACATTTTTTATACAGCGGTCAACCTTACAGATTGAACTGAAGTACAGTTAGCAAATTATATAGCAATTGAATTTAAAAATATAGTTGGTGAATATTATTAGCCTTGCAGACTAAACTCCATCACAGATGTGGGAGTTTAGTCAACAGCCTAGCTAACAGCCTTGCTAGTTGCCTAGCTAGTAGCCTGGCTAGTAGTCTAGCTAGTTGCCTAGCTAGTAGCCTGGCTAGTAGTCTAGCTAGTTGCCTAGCTAGTAGCCTGGCCAGTAGTCTAGCTAGTTGCCTAGCTAGTAGCCTGGCTAGTAGTCTAGCTAGTTGCCTAGCTAGTAGCCTGGCCAGTAGTCTAGCTAGTTGCCTAGCTAGTAGCCTGGCCAGTAGTCTAGCTAGTTGCCTAGCTAGTAGCCTGGCCAGTAGTCTAGCTAGTTGCCTAGCTAGTAGCCTGGCCAGTAGTCTAGCTAGTTGCCTAGCTAGTAGCCTGGCCAGTAGTCTAGCTAGTTGCCTAGCTAGTAGCCTGGCCAGTAGTCTAGCTAGTTGCCTAGCTAGTAGCCTGGCCAGTAGTCTAGCTAGTTGCCTAGCTAGTAGCCTGGCCAGTAGTCTAGCTAGTTGCCTAGCTAGTAGCCTGGCCAGTAGTCTAGCTAGTTGCCTAGCTAGTAGCCTGGCTAGTAGTCTAGCTAGTTGCCTAGCTAGTAGCCTGGCCAGTAGTCTAGCTAGTTGCCTAGCTAGTAGCCTGGCCAGTAGTCTAGCTAGTTGCCTAGCTAGTAGCCTGGCCAGTAGTCTAGCTAGTTGCCTAGCTAGCAGCCTGGCTAGTAGTCTAGCTAGTTGCCTAGCTAGTAGCCTGGCTAGTAGTCTAGCTAGTTGCCTAGCTAGTAGCCTGGCTAGTAGTCTAGCTAGTTGCCTAGCTAGTAGCCTGGCTAGTAGTCTAGCTAGTTGCCTAGCTAGTAGCCTGGCTAGTAGTCTAGCTAGTTGCCTAGCTAGTAGCCTGGCTAGTAGTCTAGCTAGTTGCCTAGCTAGTAGCCTGGCTAGTAGTCTAGCTAGTTGCCTAGCTAGTAGCCTGGCTAGTAGTCTAGCTAGTTGCCTAGCTAGTAGCCTAGCTAGTTGCTTAATAAAAAACCTCGCGTAGCCTCACGGACTATGGCTCCAGGATTGACATGTTGTGATTTTTTATGCATATTATAGTATCATTATCGGCACCTACTACTTACGCCGAGTGGAAACACAGATAAACTTATATTTTCCTTGTAGTCATACCTTAAAAAAGCCTTTGATTCGTCCTAAATCTTTTGTGAAGACAACTTTGTCTCGAGTAAACGTATCTAATTTACTCAGCGCAAACTGGTTTTTCTACTTTAGTAATTTTTTTAGTAAGTATCATATAAAAATGTATAAAATAAACATTAATTATGAACTGGTACGGATAACTCGCTTGAATTTTCCACCTTCCTCCCAGTACTTGGAATGTATAATTAATTTATTACTCACTCTTACTACGTTATAATATAAAACAGTTGTCTTCGTCATTTTTGAATTCGCGTTGATTTCGAAAACTATGTACATCTGCACGAACCAATATCGAATTCGAATAGTTTGCGAGGCCGAATTTCATTGGCACTCGTATTCGGGCTAACAACCTAGTATAATCGCGCCATAATGGTAAGCGGCCACTACAGCCTATAGATTTCTCTTTCGGACTTTTCTCTTTCATTAGAAGCGCCAGTCTGGAGTAGTAACCTCTACCTTACATAAGACAGCAGTGCAATAACACTTTTCACTGTTTTAAAACTAAAGAAAAGTTTTACTAGAAAAAAATCCACGCGGACCAGGCAGCGGACGGGACTCGAACCCGCACCCTTCGCTATCCGGGCGAACGCACTGACCAATTATGCTACCACGGCTCTAATGGCCGCGTCGAAATTTTCCTAGCCTTAAGCTGCAAGGCAGCGTCATCTCTTCGCATTGTAGGTAACCTACAATGTCGAATGAATACTTTTTCAAATATTAAACATTTGAAAGAAGAAATAGCAATTATAGTTATGTTTTTATTTATTTTTAAGCATTTAACTGCTAGATGTTTTAAATCTAAAGAAAAGTTTTACTAGAAAAAAATCCACGCGGACCAGGCAGCGGACGGGACTCGAACCCGCATCCTTCGCAATCGAACGCACTGACCAATTATGCTACCACGGCCCTGATGGCCGCGTCGAAATTTTCCTAGCCTTAAGCTGCAAGGCAGCGCCATCTCTTCGCATTGTAGGTAACCCACAACTTTTAGCAGTGAATGCTAAAAATAAATAAAAACATAATTTTTCACTGTCTTCAGTTTCTGTAAATAAGGCTTCAGGGCCATGGAGCCCTGGAGGCTGGTAGGAGGAAGGCTCAACAAACTCATTATTCATCTCGGAATCTTTTTTTTTTTTATGTTATAGAGGGCATACGAGCAGACGGCTCACCTGATGGTAAGTGATCACCGTCGCCCATGGACACTTGCAACACCAGGAGTATCACAAATGCGATGCCGGCCTTTAAGAAAGGAGTACGCTCTTTTTTTGAAGGTTTTTGGGTCGTATTGGTCCGGAAACACTGCTGGCGACAACATATTCCACAGTTTTGTCGTACGTGGTAGAAATGAAAATTAAAAAATTCTATTTAAATAAGAACACGAATTTCAAATCACACCGGCGAATTTGGGCGGTGCCGAAATGTCATTGTCAAGTGCGTACTGATTTTCAGTTCTCGTTACGTAGTTTGTGGCGCTGCTGTTCAAGTTTCCATACAAAATTTGACATTGATATTTCGCACTCGCAAACTATTTGAATTCGATAATGGTTCGTGCTAGGGGTACTGTAACCCTAGCATATTTGACAATCACATTTCGGAGTCGCAAACGATACGAATTCGATTTTGATTCGTGCTAGGGTACTGATCACGGTAACATTCTGTGAATATCTCAGATGTCTACCGTTCCAGAGGTAGAGTCTGTATATACATACAGACAGTGGAGGTATATTAATATGGTTCCATTAGTCAGCCTTTGGAACATTTACGGAACCCTAATAACCAGTCCCATTATAGCGACGCGACTCACAAACAAATTGTCGATATAAAAATGTCATTTTTATATTTTTTACAATTAAAATTCCATGCTTTAAAACACTATGATTCTAAAATAGTTATAGCTACAGCTTATTATTGCCAGCATTAAAAAAACATGTCCTAATAACCACAATATCATCCAAACGGATATAATACGTTGGTACCTTTATCATACTTACGTACCGCCAAAAATTGTCTTTTTTATGTTTTTTCTATACACTGCAGTGAAACGCGCTTAACGACGCAATATTACGTTATAATTAAGGATGGCAACAGCCGTACCGGACAACCTTAGGAAACAGATAATAAATAACGCATTTTGAAATTCTTGTCCGGACAATATGACACTGCTGTTTGCCTATTTTTTATGCAAAATAGGCAATGCGTTTGATCACAATCTCACCTGATGGAAAGCGATGATGAGGCCTGAGATGGTACACGCCTGCCTAGAAGAGGTCTGTTCACTCTGGCCTTGAAGATGTCCAGATATAAAACAGACCTCGGCATGGAGTTCCACTCCCTAGCCGTTCGCATAATGAAGCTTGACCAAAAGGCCATTAAAAATGGCTTGACCTATTTCTTTTGGTCAGGCTAGGGTCTCTAGTCGACTTTGCCGGCTCTTTAATTTGTCCGGTTTTGTTTCCGTAATGCGAGCGTCTTCTACCATGATGAATGCCTACTATGCTAATGTAACTAAGTGAGTAATGAATATGATATCATTTTGTGACTAAAAAGTTCGGACTTCTATCGAAATGTAGTCTGTGCGGAAAGAGAATGGGCATAGCGAACGTTTTTCGCCTTACTAACATTAAGATTTTTATTTGGCAATCAAACCCAGCAATCTGTAAAACGTCAAAGTTTTGTATTGATACGGATTGGTTTGTTGTTGTGATTTCTCGCGGTTTTTTGTATTTAATCATGTCTAAAAGGGGTCAAACCTTACAAACACGGTAAAAAAGCACTATAGCGCCCTCCAATCTAAATCCCATTCTCTTACTGCACAGACTTCTACAGTCAAATCAGAAATTTTCAAAACTATCAAAGTGTGTTTTAATAATTTCTTTTTTTCTTCTTCTGTATATATATAATGAATGGGTCAGAAATTCTAAATAATGTAAGGCGGTTTGGCCAACTGTCCGGTGAAATAGTTTGACCCGCCTGGCTATCTGTGTTTAAGATCTGCGGCAACCCTAGACGCAATTGTTAAGACTCAAGCGTAGCTTGATTTACCTTAATTATAGTTACATTACATAATAGCTACTACGTAACTTAGAATGGGCTGTTGAATATTTTATCTTCTTCTGTAAAAGGCAACCGTTTCTGACTGTACTATAGACGCACTGCTTAAACGACTAAACGGATTACGCTGAAATTTCCCAAAAATAATAGTTAGTGCAATATGGTCGTGAGCAAAGAAAGGATTTTCCAAAACTCACCTCCTGAAGCGGTAAAACTGGGGTTCAGACTACCAAGATCGCAAGATAAACCTTTAACAAAATCAAATATAACGCGAGCGAAGCCGCGTGCAAAAGCTAGTAGGTAGTTTTTTTTAAGATTCTCCCTTTTTAGGGAAGGCAAAGGGAACAATGCAAATACAGCCAAGTCTTTAGATTTATGAATCTTCGTTTTTTTTTTACATTAGAATGTGTCGGTGTATCTCATTCTAATGTTTCTTGGAGTGTTTGGCACGAAATGTATCGAGTTAGCTTTTCTGGTAAGCTTCTGTGAGGTAGTCAACACTACAATAAAATTCTCACGTCCACTTGACCGGAATAGGGTATATTTTAAAGATTCCACTAATTCTTCAGTTGGGCAGCAATTTTATTTCACAATATCCACTATGAACGAATAAAATAATAATTAAAATAAGAGGCCAACCGCACTCGATGAATTCCCGCCAAAAAAGCTAGTAGGTACTAAAATACACACGAAATACATAACCATCCTTCTTGCGCATTCGGGTAAAAATATATAAATATTAAGATCTTTCGTTATTTTTTTCTACTGACGTATGGAACAATAACTTTACCTATATACCTACTGATAGTGGTATGTTCGCGACCAGAATTCATTGAAAGCATATAAAGATAATAGGAAATCGAGGTCAAACCTTTTATCATTATATTCCGACTGAGAGTGTTGCCTCTTTTGTCTCTTTCTAACAGCACGCAAATTACTTTCGAGACAAACAAACAGGAAAAATGGTCTTGGACTCGCAGATAGGGTTACTATTTAAAAATTTGAAAAGTTCTGACTTAAAGCCGGACATTTCGGTCACTTAGTTACAGTGATATTATACGCGTGGTAGCAGACGTTCGCATCGCGAGGGCGCGGTCTCGTTGTTGATTTTAAAGATTATTTATCTTTGTTTCAAATTAATAAGAACTTAATTAGAAATATTTGACTTATTAGATATAACTTAATTAAAGTCTGTGCGGGAAGAAAATGGGATTTAGATTGGAGGGCGCTGTAGTGTTTTTCTACCGTATTTGTAAAGTTTTACCCCTTTTAGACATGATTAAATACAAAAAACCACAAGAAATCACAACAACAAACACATCTGTATCAATACAAAACTTTGAAGTTTTACAGATTGCTGGGTTTGATTGCCAAATAAATATCTTAATGTTAGTTCCGTTTTTCGCCACGCCCATCCTCTTTCCGCACAGACTCTAGTAGTTTTATTCATATTCTATTTAATTTAAATAAGCCGGACAAAAGGCAAAATGTCCGGACAAATCCGGACGGATGGTAACCCTACTCGCAGATGAAAGGTTCCATTCCATAGTAACTAAAATATTAATGTAAAGTCTGAACTGAAAAACAATTCAAAGAAATGTAGGCACACTCTATACCTAAAACCCAAACATCCCAAAAACTTTAATAAATAATAATAATTCAATTTCACGGATGAGCACGGAAATGATTCGGGTTTATTCCACAGAATGCTTAAAGCGGAAATTGAACAAAGGTTAACAATTATCATGAAATTGGAATAATCCTGTAAATGTACCTACCTTATTAAATAGGTACTTAAAAATCATCAAATTTAAAAATATCTTTTCGAATTCTTGCTAGTCAATTATAAAAGAAAACCTTAATTAAAAAAACAATAATTTCGCGCCAATTAATTTTTTGTGACATGTGGAACGGGTAGTGATGAGCCGTGGCTGGGAATATTATTATTTCCATTTCAATGATTCCCGGGAATCTTGGGAACATGCACGTAAACTGAGAATCGCGAGGAGTGCAGGGAAGGTACCTTTGCCAACCACTTTCGGGTGAAGACCCTGTCCACGTCTCGTCGTTTAAGTGTCGCTGCACACGGGCCCCACGCCAGAGCCACAAACGCCGCCACGAGAAGCTAGTAGCGGCTACTAAAGTGGCTGAAGCGCGCGACAGCGGCCGACTAAGGTAAGGGAAAGAGGGGTGGGAAATTGCGCGAGTGACGTATGGCGGCGTTTTATATCGGCGCATTAAGTGGCCGGTGCGGGCCACAAGAAGCGAGCAACGACGATTTGTAGCGTGTGGCGGCCACCGGGGCGTACCGTGTGTGGCGAGTCCATATACAATGTATGAAAACTACATGACATATGCCGGTGGCCGCGTTTTGTGGTTGTGGTCGGTGGCTCGTGTGCGGCGACACTTATGGTAAAAAGGTGCAGGCGGAATTCATTCGAATAGTACTTGTGTACACTCCCCGAAATTTAACTCGTGCCAAACACTCTGACGCGCAAATCTTATCATTATCATCATTATTTAACTAAACAGTTAGCGAGTGCCACGAGGACATTTACTTACTTAGAGATAAGAAAATATTTATTATTTTTATCAAATTACACTATCTTCTACAACCTAATCAGCTAGTTTGCGTAAGATAAATTAAACAGTCTAAGTATACACGGGTAAGGAAAATATATGTATGTTGTACGATAGTGTGAAAGTCATTCAAGCAAGGTTAGTAGTAGACTAGTAGTGTAATAACAATAAGTGTATGTGGGAGACAGTGTAACAAGTGGGGTATGTGGGAGACAGTGTTACAATTGGCACAGTGTAACATTAGGAATATCTCAGCCCTTTTCTTTTTTGTCTATGGTCTGTCTTGGCGTGCTTTATTAGTTTCTTAAGCCAGCATTCATCAGACTTCAGATATATTGCGTTTGTAATATTGTGCCCCTTGTTACACGATCACCCCCCAATTGACCCTACCTTTTCTCAAAATGATGATACAAAACGCCAACTTGGCCAAATATAACAATAGTTCTATATTTAGAAACCTATAATAGGTACATAAAAGTATTTTATCTCTGGCAATCATGAAGGATTATGATAATAAAATACTACATTTTATTATACAAGTGAGCAAAGTTGTGAGCTACATTCAGGCTAACATTAGGCTTCATTTTCAGCTGTATTTGTAACTAGTTGTGCCCTGCTGTGTTACCCGCGGTTTATTAGGGATATTATTAAAACGTAGTCAATGTGTTAATCCTAGGTGTCAGCTATCTCCATACCAAATTTTATAAAAATCGCTCCAGCCGTTTAGACGTGAAGAAGAAACAAACTTACACACTCACACACTCACAAACTCTCGCCTTTATAATATTAGTGAGATGAGATTTTCAACAACGGATTTTATATTAAGCCTAGACCAATGACTTTATAGTAGAGTTACCCAAGCGGTGATTATGGAATTTACTCGAGTGCGGCAGAATAACATAAAGGGGGTAACCTTGCACCTTGTGAAGTACTCCCACCACATTGAGCCCTTTCTGTTAAGCCGAACATCTAGGGCAGCAAAAAAATTCAACAAACGGTCATGAATTTTGGTCGCAAAATTATCAGGTACTGTAATGCCCGCAGCGTTGCGGCCTCTTTGCTTGTCTACCAGTAACGGCTGGCAGCTATGGTTTATAAATTGACAAATATAATTGACAACATATATAAAAGAAGACAATCTTATATCCGTCGCCGAACTGCTTATGAAATGATTATGATTAGATTACAAAATATTTGATAAAAAGAGAATGATATAAGAATATATACAATAAATATAAAAGATCTGGGTTTTATTAACAGTACTCCTTACCTCGGACGCTATGCTGCCCAATAATTCTCCATAGTAGGAGAATTACTACAGAACCTACTGGAGGGCTCCCCTACTATTACGTACCTGCAAAAGTAAGGAGAAGCTAGGAAAATAATATAATTCTGGTCATCCATCCGGTTATTGGCTGTTACGAGAATTGCTTGCCATGGAAGTAATCGCAGCCCGAATGGGACAAGAGCTGCGTCATTTATCTTTTTTTAAAGTCTAACTAACGTAGAGTTATGTATAAAAGTATTAAAAAATGCAGCTTAACTTAAACCCGTTATAAAAGTGTTAAATTTAGTGAAACTTATTACATCGTCTCCAATTTTGTCAAAATAAAAAAAATTTCATCCCCATCATCTTGATGCGTGGCTATCCACAACCGTGCGTTTTTATCGAAATTTTTTACCACGTACGACAAAACTGTGGAATATGTTGTCACCAGCAGTGTTTCCGGACCAATACGACCCAAGAACCTTCAAAAAAAGAGCGTACTCCTTCCTTAAAGGCCGGCATCTAGGCATGCGTCCGATATATCAAAACGAATCCAAAATCCGATTTCAAACACAAATCGATACCGAACGATTTCTCAACAAGAAAATCCGATTTCAGAAATCTAACCGAACCAAAACGCTAGCGATCTAATACCACCACAAGTATCCAAATGTAAATCGGATTCGAAATTCGTGCTTTCGTTTTCGGAAGTCAGATTTCGTGCTCGGAAGTCCGATTTCGGTTTGCTGTTTACGGAAATCTATTGTTCTTCTCTAAGGCGGGATTATTTATTACTGAAAAAGGATGTCTAAAAACATCAAAAGTCGAGCAACTGACATTTTTTTGAACGCTAACCTGAAGTAATTAGGTTTGATTTTGTAAATGGTTTGAAAAATAATAAAAACACAACAGAAAAACCAAAAAAATTACTAAAAAAATATGTAAAAGAAATCATTTAACATAAGCCGATTTTTAAATGCACCGCAAAAGTTTTACTCTTAACCGTAAAGATAACTTTTCTGCTAGTCCTAAGCCACAGAATATATACTCTTGCCTAAGCCTAGATTTAAAGCATAAAGGAAAATCGCGCAAATCTACGAGTATCCTTGCTTCGTACAATTAATTGTTTGTGATTGTCGTTAGCTAATAAAACCAAATCATATCACAAACTAGTGAATTGGCTTAGTTCGGCACATCTGAAATCGGATATCTAAAAACGGATGTTAAAATCGATTTTGAAATCTGAAATCCGATAAATATCCGTTTGCGTTCAAAACCAAAAACGCCCATGTCTACCGGCATCGCATTTGTGATACTCCTGGTGTTGCAAGTGTCCATGGGCGACGGTGATCACTTACATCAGGTGAGCCGTCTGCACGTATGCCCCCTATAACAAAAAAAAAAAAAAAAGTTCCTTACAAGCATCTCTGTAACAAATAAATAACACACACAACTCACTGGAACGAAGTTTCTTTTTGAATGGTATGGCGGATGGCTAGGCAGTTGCCTAGCTAGGTAGTTAGCTAGGTAACTGGGCGGGTAGCTGAGCGGGTAGTTGGACGGGTAGCTGAGCGGGTAGTTGGACGGGTAGCTGAGCGGGTAGTTGGACGGGTAGCTGAGCGGGTAGTTGGACGGGTAGCTGAGCGGGTAGTTGGACGGGTAGCTGAGCGGGTAGTTGCACGGGTAGCTAGCTAGGCAGCGAGGTGGGGGACCACTGACGGCGGTGTTTTTGCACTTGGTTCATAGTTTTGTTTGGTGAGTGATGGACGGGAACGTGTGCGATGCTCCGGGAGCGTCCGCCTTGGGCTCATTCCACACTGAGCCTATTCTGCATTGGGACCGTTCCGCAGTGGGCCCTTTTTCCTCTGGGCCCAGTGCTGATTGGTGGGTAAGATACTTTTTTATGGAATAGCGAGATTGAGCTATGGCTCGCCACGCTGGCTCAGTGCGGATTGGTGGGTGATATATTATTATTTCGACCTTCATTCCAGCCGAATCTTCCACGACAATGACGTATATTTTTTATGTTTTTTGAAAATAATTTTATTTTTTTTTGCTTATAGGTATTGGGTAAAAAGAAGAAGACGTCATGGCTGCAATGGCAGACGAGGTTCTACCAACGATGAGGAGTTTGAGTCCCGACATAGAGTCTATGGAGGCGCTCAACAAGAAAACTATTAACGTAAGTTATTTTATCAATAATTTTGAACAAAAGTGTACCCATTAAATAATGAAAAGATGCAGAACGACGAACTGAACCAAAGGGTCAGGCCAGTAACTAAGAGGGGAGGCATTATAGAGCCCTGCTAGCTATACCCATAATGCTTCCCCGCCACGAAGTAGGCATCGAAATACCTTAAACGTGGCCGCAGACTGTAAAGGGTGGCACGTCCTTGTTTATGGCCTTCCTGTAATTACCACTGTCCTATCTTAAATTCAACTCTGGCCACGGCCAAGCTAAAAGTGTCGGGACAAATGGGGGACAGTGTAATAAGGGGTACAGTGTAACAAGGTGTACAGTGTAACAAGGGGTACAGTGTAACACAGTTAATATCTCTGACGTCTGTTCCAATCATTCCAACAGGTTTTCTATATTAAATAAATCATGATTGTATTGAACTTGTAACAACATAATCATTTGTAAATGTTGTTTCATTATACTTTTAATGTTGTGGAGCTTTCTTTGCTCGTTTTTCTCCGCAACTAAAAAATATGTCCAATGCAATTGGTAGGGGAAAAATTTGGACGATTCAAAAGAGTTATACTATACGTCCAATTTGAATAAAGATATACTGATTTCTGATGACAGCTGCTTAAGATAGCTGCATATGAAACTAAAAAAAAACACGTCAAGACTAACCATAGACAAATAAGAAAAGAGCATAGATATTCCTAATGTTACACTGTGCCCCTTGTTACACAGTGCCTCTTGTTACGCTGACCCCTATTTGACCCTACCCTATAATAACTAACAATGATCAAATCTTACTATATAGTTTCATTTATTCCTCGCCAAAATCTGAGATTGCCGCTTTTTAGAATACATTTTTAAAATTATCTGCGTGGCAAGTTTCATAAAATATTGGGTATTTTGCACACATTCTCCAAGATACTATTTTCTTATTCAACATTTCAAATAACTTATTGTCAACAAACATAATATCACAATACATACAACACATGGAATTTAAATTCATCAAAAACGTAAAAGTTTTGTTTAATTTTAATTCCATTTGGATGACGTCGGTCTTTAAAAGTCAGCTTAAAGTCTGCACATTAGAAGACAACACTCCCTTTTGAAATGACCACAAGGGTATGGTAGGAATCCAATTTAGAAGATGGCTAGAGTACAGCAGAATTTCTTGCCAACCTCACAGATTAACCTCTACCATCCTCATTCTTCCTTTCCTCATTTGATCCGCTGAACAATTTCTCTGTCTTTCTTCCCTAGGTTAGGCTTCCCTAGGTGCCATCTTGCCTATTCTCTTTGGCAAGTGGGGCACCCCCCTACTTTAAATCTATCCTCTTCTTTCATCACATCGTCTATCCAGCATGGTATAGCTGACGGACGATTTTGGTGACGGGCTTCCGGACACATATGCCGATCACCCGGACACCAGTACCATTTAGAATCATTAGTTAAGAAGACGTAAAATATGTGAACTATATCGAACCAAGTGAAAAACTCAGTTATATATAAAAAAATATCCTCTACTGTCCTCACGTAGAGAAGTAAGGCAGAGCGGATTTCACGCTTGCATTGGAGCGCCCGTCTGGGTAGCACCTCACACCGTATAGAAGATTACGGGTGTATTCCGAATCAAACACCAGTACGCTGGCCAGTGGTAATGACGTCATGATTTTGACGCCATATTGACAACACTACTACTACACCAGTGCAATATGGCGTCGAAATCAAGACGTCATTACCGCTGGCCAGCGTACTGGTTTATATTTCGGAATACACCCTATAGCACTATATCAGCACTTTTTGGTAGTGTTGTCTTTCGGTTGGAGTGTCAGGGTTCCAGGGCTCTGTGGGGTAAGGGTTTGGATTCAGGCGGACAAGGTGAGAATGGCTGGAGAGTAGTGTTGCCACATCAGATATGTTTTAAATCGGTACAAGAGGTCAAAAAATCGGAATTTAGCATTGCAGATCGGGACAGTAAACAAAAAACAAGGGGTTTTTAAGTCTGGGTTTAATTTATTGCGTTTTAAACTACTAGTGCAAGTATAGTATTATATTGTTTACCTAAATTTCATTTTTTGATTAATCGGGACTTTTAGCGTCCCGATCAGGTACAAATCGGGGCGCATCCCCAGACCCTTGAAAATCGGGACTTCCCGCGCAAATCGGGACACCTGGCAACACTACTAGAGAGGCATACTTAACTGTTATTTATTTATGATCAGGCTAGCTTCATATTCCCATTGATAAATACATTATAGTCTAACATATATAAAACATGGATTTAGTGACAACGTAGATACAAACGCATGACTTTATATTGGCAAGGAAAAGGTCGAATACGGGAAAATCAAACTCAAATCTTTGAATGTGGCTTAGACGACAGAACGAGTTTAATGACGTCACAATATGGCGCGGCAATTATAGTGGCTCGAGGTTGTTGGTCACTCTCACCTTTAAATCGCCAATGATGTGGGCTTCGCGATGCAACTTAATCAAAACATTGCACTAACATGATCAATTAAAATATGTACGTCAGTCAAACAATAATAGTTCAAGTCCAGTCCGAATTTTAATTAGATATTTAGAATATTTTCTTTAGATTTAAACATCAAGCAGTTATATGCTTAAAAAATAAAAATTATAACTATATTTTTGTTATGATTTTTTTAAGCATTTAACTGCTAGATGTTTAAATCTAAAGAAAACATTACTAACGGGCCAGGCAGCAGACGGGACTCGAACCCGCACCCTTCGCTATCCGTGCGAATGCACTGACCAATTATGCTACCGCAGCCCTGACGGCCGCGTCGAAATTCCTCTAGCCATTCTTAAGCATTTCGCATTGTAGGTAACCCACAATGTCAAATGAATACTTTTACAAGTATTAAACATTTGAAAGAAGAAATTGCAATTATAATAGTAATATTTTTTATTTTAAGCATGTAA